CCCCCCCCCCCCCCCAAGAAAGAAGCTCCACTCATCAGGGCCAACATACCAAATAAGTTGAAATATTATATGTACCGGTACGAATCTTATGAATAATGGAGTGAAGCATTCAACTGTACATACAGTTCCTGAAATATCTGATTGGCCATGATAACACCCACCGCGTCTTCCAGAGTTCTAAACACGACGACCCCATCATGGCCGAAGCGTTTCATCATGCGTGACGTGATTCTGTCGATGCGCTTCCGCCTCTTGAGCTCGGCAGCCTTCTCCTTCTCCCTCTGCTCGAACTCAATGGCTTCCTGTTCGCTGGCTTCGATGTGCAGGTCCTGCGCTCGGAAAACGAACCCGTTTGCAAAAAGTTCATTTAATGTGTTTTGAACACTCAGGGCGTTTTGAACAAATTTTCTCCTACGCCCTCTTGGTTTATCGTGTGTATTTACAACTATGGAGTTTGACGCCAATGGTCGAAGGCTCGCTGTCGTGGAAGAACTGTAACTCGCGCCGTCCTCTCCGTGCGAATTCGAATCGTTATCGTCCTTGGCGCCATCTTTCCTCTTCTGCATCTTCATCAAGTAGAGGGTTATCTCCACGTAGCCTTGCACGAATCTCCGCCTGTCGGACGGCGACAGGAGGCGTATCCCCCACTTGAACAAGCTCCACCCGTTGATGATGATGAGCATCAGGAGCCAGAACCAGACGAATATAAAGATCTTCTCGCTGTACCGGTTGATGGGCAGGATGCACTGGACCGTGTACCGGTTGACGTTCGTTGTGGACTCGCGGACCTCCATGTCGCAAAGGGTCTGCGCCGGGAAGCGGGCCGAGAACTGGGGTATGCCCCTCAGGTAGTTCTCGAACACTTCGTACCCGTACCACATGAAGTCCTCGTCGATGAAAAAGTTCAGACTCAGATGCAGGCCGACGGACACCACCAGGTAGGTGAGCTTGATGAACAAGACCAGGCCGGCGAGGTAGGTTCTTTGACGTTTCCCCAGCCAAAAAAATCCGATGCTCCCCAGAAAGTGTCTCAGGCCGTCGCATTTCGAATTTGTCGACAGACAGGTCCTGATGAGCCAGATTTGCAAGATTTTGGCCAGCGTTTCAATGTCGTCGTGCGTGTCGGCCATTTCGATGAGCTTAACAAGGTTGAGGCCAGATGTGTGTGCAAACGACTGCCAGATGTAGTGCGGGAACTTCAACATGGCCGCCATAAAGAATAGGATCCATGGCACCCAAGGATAGTAGGCGATACTTTCACTGTAGATCTCCTGTTGGTTGACGACCAATATCTTGGTCCTAAAATTGAGATAAAAAAATGGGGGGGGGGGATTAGTGTTACCCTATAATCGTGTTGACAAGCATAAGTTGCGGTTGTTTCCTAAAATGTCCTTAAACAATTCTCAACTCAGCTAAATTGTTATTTTTCGATTATAATATCAACCAAGTAAGGGAAGCCTTCAAAGCAAAATGCTCATACTCCGGTACAGGGTTGGTCGCCCCACCTGAACACACAGAAATTTCTTAGAAAGTCGTATACACCCTCCCCCTTTTTTTCCCGGTCTAACATTACCACTCCCCTCTCTCCTGTCTAGCATCGCCCACTTTTCAAATGTAAATTCATTTCCCCCACAGACTTAATGCGCCCCCCCCCCCCCCACACACACCCCAAAAAAAAAAATACACCACTGGAATGCAGTCAAAATGCACTGACTAAGTATTTCTTGCATTTGTACGTATGCATCGATGCAACATTCTAAGTCAGTGGCAATGCAATGTGCTCCTGCTTCGCCTTATATAAATAATGCAGGATTTTAGAATACTTTATTTTAGGTAAGTCTTATTTTGAATAGGCCTATCCTGTAGGAAAAGTGAAATCTGATGATCGCAACAATAACTAAATAATGTATTGAAAATAACATAAAGGCAGATAACTCGAAGGTGCACGCAATATTTCATACATGAGGAGTTGGCGACCTTTACATTGGCAATAATTAACATTCAAATCTTGAAATTATTAAGTGGTTCTTAATTCTTGGCAACACCGGAATTGTTTTTTTTTTAAAAATCAAAACAATGAGAAAACACGCCGATAAGTGGCGTAGCTAGGCTTAGTGCCGCCCGGGGCGAGCCGATAATTTTGCTGCCCCCCCCCCTCTTCACTGAAAAAAACCCCCTCTGCAATTAGTCGGAAATGAAACCCCCTCCATATAAAGAAAAAAAGTGTCGCCCGGGGCCCTCTCCGCGAGCCCTCCTACGCCACTGATGGCTCGGCAGGGGGGTAGATAGTACTTGGGGGGGGGGTGAGTCAAGCTTTTCTCCAATGTTTGTTATTATATGTATAATTTTCTTAAATTCTGCAATTAGTCGGAAATGAAACCCCCTCCATATAAAGAAAAAAAGTGTCGCCCGGGGCCCTCTCCGCGAGCCCTCCTACGCCACTGATGGCTAGGCAGGGGGGTAGATAGTACTTGGGGGGGGGGGTGAGTCAAGCTTTTCTCCAATGTTTGTTATTAAATGTATAATTTTCTTAAATTGCTAATTGTTTATGTAAATCGCAGTGAGCCTAGCCCTAGGCTGAGGTACTGAGCAGTGAGCCTAGCCCTAGGCTGGGGTACTGAGCAGTGAGCCTAGCCCTAGGCTGGGGTACTGAGCAGTGAGCCTAGCCCTAGGCTGGGGTACTGAGCAGTGAGCCTAGCCCTAGACTGGGGTACTGAGCAGTGAGCCTAGCCCTAGGCTGGGGTACTGCGCTGTGTCAAACCACCTTACAGTACTAATGCCATGAGAACAACGTGCATCTGATGAGCACATTAAAATTATAGACAAAATAATCAATAAATCTGAACCGAACCCTACGCTCAGAACATACGCTCCGTTATTAGTATGACTGACGTCTTCAAACGATGCGCGTCACTCGTAAACTCACCTCGTGGACGTAGTAGTTTTGCTTGACCCAGCACAGCGCCTTTGTATAGTTGCACTGCACCTCGGGCATCTCGGCGGGGCACCAGCAAGAGATAGGATGTCCTGCGTACTGAAAACAGTATGGTAACAAAATCATCACATTGCTTGTTGTTTTTTGTTTTGTTTTTTTTTTAGTACTGGGAATGGACAGTTGCAGGCAGGGAGGGAGGGCCGTGCGAAAGAAAGCTACGCCCGGGGCAAAGCCTGGAAATGGGCGCCCCATGTTTCATTAATAACTGATGTTACATAGGCATATATTTTTTTAAATAGATATTTTGAGCACCATTTGATTCTGGCACAATGCGGTGGGCTGCCCCCCCTTTTGGCGTCCACTTTCGCAATGCCCTGGGTGCACATTTGGAGAAAAGGTGTGGGTTTGGGGGGTGGAGGGGGTCTTACAGGTTGCGTACACGGCGTATGCACTGCTGGGTGGTTATATTTTGGTCAGTCTGTGGCATTAAGGCTGCTAAATAGTTGCTCTATCGTGAGAGAACCAAAAAGGTCAAGGCTGCTAAATAGTTTGCTATTTCGTGGGGGGAACCAAAATGGCCAAGACTGCTTAATAGGTGCTATATTGCCCGAGTATCAAAAAGGTCAAGGTCGCTAGATAGTTTGCTATATCGTGAGAGCACCCAAAGTGCCAAGGCTGCACATGGCATTTTTATTGCCTACCCCTCCCACCTATATACCCATGCCCATCCTTTTTGCCCTATGATCTTTGGTAAAAAATTTTTTTTTTTTTTTTAAAGATGGGTTTGACCTCTCAGTGGTTATACAACTTATAAACTATATCTATACTACCTGGACTAACGTTACAAATCTACCCAAAGTGCCAAGGCTGCACATGGCATTTTTATTGCCTACCCCTCCCACCTATATACCCATGCCCATCCTTTTTGCCCTATGATCTTTGGTAAAAAAATTTTTTTTTTTTTTAAAGATGGGTTTGACCTCTCAGTGGTTATACAACTTATAAACTATATCTATACTACCTGGACTAACGTTACAAATCCTCCCATTGACGCTAAAACAATGGCGCTCCATAGGTAATTAAACTGGCTGCAGAGGTCCTCATCCGATGTCCTAGTTAAGCCAGCAGCCGACAAAATGTTGGATATCCTATATAAATGAAATAAAAATTTTAAAAAAAGTAAATTCAACACAATATATATATAGTGTCCCGCAAATGTGACCATTTGGACTCGATAGTGTCCATTGGTGGCGTTTGTACAAGAGCTTCTTGTAGACTATGGGTGTATACTTCTGTTCTCTCTGAGTTTTTGGTGGAGCAGATGTTTATGCGTGGTTTACTCTTGTATTTAGTGTGATACAGTTTCTTTGGCTGTAGCCTTATCTTGCTAGCCACTAAGGAATGATCAGTGTCGCAGTCTGCGCTGTGGTAGCTGCGTGTGAGGAGGACACTGGCCAGGTGTGTGCGTCCTGTGATGATGAGACCTAACTGGTGCCAGTGTTTAGAGCGGGGATGCCTCCATGACACTTGGTGGATAGCCTTACAGTTGAAGTAGGTGTTAGTTACACCTAGCAACCTGGTCGCATACCAAAGGACGTGCTATACAGCGAGCTGGCGACAGGGAAAAGGTCAGTTGGACGGCCTTGTCCTGAGATACTTAGACATATGCAAAAGAGACATGAAGTCGGCCAAATCGACATCTCAAACGGGGAGGAGCTGGCAGAGGATCGATCCTCATGGCGGGCATCGTGAAGGCAGGATCACTACATGCCGAGGAGCAAAACAGGGCGGAAACAGCTGCATAAAGAGCGAGGAGGAGGGCCGGTAAATACTGCTCCACCACATTCGTGGGTGGGAAATGTAACGGAGACTGCCATTCGAGGATTGGTCTCACCAGACACACCAAGAGCTGCAAGCAATAAAGATAATCTATCGTCTCTCGCAGACGGAAAGATGCCATGCAATACAATATATATATATATGTATACATTTCAATGTAAGTTATGTCATTTATTGGTTTAGTTGGTATTGAAGTTATCTTTAGTCTCCTGGCTTTTCACGGACAACCTCTCTTGTATATTATGTTAACGCACACCGGCAATCAAACGTTTAAATACAATTATGAAAAGATATCTTTAAATTTAAAACGTTCTGAAAAGATCAGCTTGAAGCACACGCAAAAAAAATTTTCTTCCAATATTGGAAGATTCGGCTCCAAGATCAAATATAGAATAGATGCTGTTTGCAAAGGTGAGTAGCCCATGTCACACAAACGTTGACACGTCCCCATTACTGTTGCCTGGTAAGAATAACCTTATTTCGTCTCGAAAATTTTATTTCAAGTCAAAATTATTATTTGAATTTAGATCAATTTTTGGTGTAGTATTTAAATTGAATTTATAACTTTTTCTATACTATATTTTATAATAGTAGGGGAGAGCGGGGCAAGTTGTCATGTGGGTTAGTTGTCATAGTCACTATTTCTGAAAGTTGTAGCTGGTTTGATGCTGTGACGTTTTGGTATTATATCAAGGAGGTTAGAAGATGACTGCTCAGTTGATTTCATGAAGTTTGCCTGAATAGTTTTTCTACAAATCCAAAAATATCAAAAATGTCGTTGGTAAGTAACTTTTTAACTTTTTGTTCCAATGTTCAACATATTAACAATATGTAAAATCTATTTTTAATGCATTAAAAAGTTTATAGTTTTGGAACTTCTTCTATTGTTGTGCTAGTCAGTTATCAAATTTACAACAAGGATAAAAAGTTATTTAGGGCAAACTCCCATTTACCCCATGTGGGGCAAGTTGTCATATTTATAAGGGGGCAAGTTGTCATAAAAAATAATTTGCCTTTGCACTCTTTTCCACATAGATATGTACGTTTAGATCTGCGCAACAAATTTTTAATCTAATTGTCTTTCAACATCTACATTCTAAGATTTATGATAATGATTATAAATTAATTAATAAGTAAATACATTTTAAAAAATCGAAATTTGTAATTAAAATAAATAATTTTAAAAAAAAAATACCGCTGAAAGTTTTTTTGGACGAAAGGGTCAAAAGCAAGTTGGGGCAATAACCTCAGCAGAAAGAGGTACTTTGGTAACATTGGCATGTGCTGGCTCTGCTATAGGTAACAGTATCCCACCTTTTTTGTATTTCCAGGAGTTAATTTTAGAGAGCACTTTTTAACTAATGCACCACCTGGCAGTGATGGGGACGCAAATCCATCTGGTTGGATGAAGGAAGACACATTTTGTAAATTTCGTACTCATTTTGTAAGAAATGCAAGACCTTCAAAGGAGCATCCAGTTTTGCTTCTGGTAGACAATCACTTTTCACACTTGTCATTGAATGCACTTGACTATGCAACAGCAAATGGCATTGTTATGTTAAGTTTTCCACCCACTGCACCCACAAGTTGCAGCCACTTGACAGAACTGTCAACGGACCTTTAAAAAAGGCTGTAAATAGTGCCATCAACAGTTGGATGGTCAATAACCCTGGAAAAGCAATGACAATTTACAATATACCAGAAATAGTGAAGGTTGCCTTCCCATTGAGTATGACACCAAATAATATACTAAATGGCTTTTCTTCCTGTGGCATCCACCCATTTAACCCACAAATCTTTTCAGATTTGGACTTTGCTCCAAGCTCACTGACAGAAAGACCTTTGCCAATCAAAACAAATTCTGAAATATCAATGCCTCAAGCTTCAAATGTTGCAGTTTTACCAGAGCAATCCACTTCAGCACAGGAGCCTTCAACTTCAACTTCTCATGTGGAATCAATGTCTGAATGCTCTGTACTTACGACACCAGATAATCTTAGACCATTACCAAAGGCCCTAGAAAGAAATCCTTCAAAAAACATTCGCAAGAAGAGAACTTCAACTATATTAACTGATTCAACTTACAAAAATTCTGTGAAACAGTCACAGCCACAGCCAAAAAAAGTCAAAAGTTCTGTTAAGGGAAAGGGAAAAGGCAAATTGACAAAAAACCATCGACAAGACTCATCATCATCGGAAGATGAAAACTACTGTATCATTTGTAGGGAGACTTGGGCTAATAGTAGAGATGCTGAAAAATGGATCACATGTTGTATGTGCTCAAGCTGGGAGCATGAAGAATGTACAGAAGGAGGACCTGGGTACATTTGTCATCATTGTGACTCTAATGATGATTTTTAATTGTCATTTTCAAAGTGTTTTAGTGTAAACATTACATTTTTATTGCTGTTCATATATAAATGTTTAATAAAATACTTATTTTCTTCTTTAAATATATTATTTATATGTTTTTCCAAATGCATTTTGACTATATAAACCTGCAGTTGGAATAAAATATAATTATGACAACTTGCCCCTCCCATCAAGACAACTTGCCCCTAAGGTGGGGTAAGCTGTCATACCATTGAGGCTCTTTTGTAGACGGTGTCATGGTCTAATAAAAAAGTTTAAGTCTTTCTAAAGCTAATTTTTAAACAACTATAATAATAAACTTTCATATAAAATAGTTTTGATAATTATAATGATTGACCAATTAGTTTCCTAAATATTTAGAAAAATGTAAAAAGTATGACAACATGCCCCGCTCTCCCCTAATAGCAATTTTAATGTGTAAAAAAAAGTGTGTGCATTAGTTGGTGTTTTTTTTTTTTTTTTTTTTTGGGGGGGGGGGTGGCGGTGGGGTCCCGTAACTATATGATTTAAGGCACTTTCTAAATTTGACGATAAGCCGAACACAAAATGTTCTAGTCTCTAGACTTGTCCATAGATATGCCTGGCTATGTTCTGCTGCTTCTTCTTCTTATGCCTTTTTACCCCGTCTGGGGCATAGGCCGTCCACAAGAATTTTCCGTTCATCACGGTCCTATGCTTTCCTTTTTTTTCCCAGTTGCTTCCAGGTGCACTTTGCGTGTCTGCCTCTAGCTCGTACCTCCGTGGGTTCGTTGGCATTCCTCTCTTTCCTTTTCCATGTGGATTCCATGTTAGGGATTGTCTGGTGATGCTATCTGGGGGGGGGGGGGGGTTCGGAGAGTATGCCCCTGTCCACCTCCATCTTTTCTTTATCATGTTCTGCTGGCCTCACAGAAGTTCCCATTGACGTTGAATCAAAACAACATGGCGGTCTGCAGTCAGTGCAGACGCGTACGCCCTGCAATCCTTTCGAATACAAACAAAGTAGTGATGTGGATAAAAATAATAAATAAACTAGCGAACTTTGAATGGAAAGAGGAGGGGAAAAAACAACGAAAAAACGACAAAGGTTTATGCCACGACCCTGGGGTCTGGTGTGTACTTACATATTAGACAAGTCTCAGCATGGACTCGCCGTCGTGGATACGATCCAGGATATTGGATTGTCGTTTACCGCATTCTTGATCAATCCCGAGTGACCTGGAAATGTACAAGTTATTGTGTCATGTTCAACATGCGTACAGAACCAATCTATAAGACAATGGTTGGCCTAGTTTGATCCTTCTCACACCCCCCCCCCAACCCACACACTTTTTTTTTTCAATATCGTACTGTGTTTAATGTGATACTTGAATAATAAACACTGAACATGTTCTAAATATATAGACCATCCTGCCAACACCTCCCGAGTGACCTGGAAATGTACAAGTTATTGTGTCATGTTCAACATGCGTACAGAACCAATCTATAAGACAATGGTTGGCCTAGTTTGATCCTTCCCACCCCCCCCCCCCAACCCACACACTTTTTTTTTTCAATATCGTACTGTGTTTAATGTGATACTTGAATAATAAACACTGAACATGTTCTAAATATATAGACCATCCTGCCAACACCAATGATCGAGAAACACTAAGGGGTTGGGGTAGGTGGTGGATGTAGGGGCGTAATGCCCAATACTGTCAGTGACATCATAGTGACAAAGTCAAGTTGTTGTAAAAGTGACGGTCCGCGGAACGGTACCGGCCCGTGAGCCACCCCAGTCGTCGGCCCAATGTGATAAAGAAAATGTACAAAACGACAACTACAATCATCACTAAATTGGGAACGGATACCTTCTGCAATGCGATAGAAGTTCGTCTACTTCGAGAATGTGAACGTTATGGAGACGCTAATCAAAACCACACACACACACCATTACCACGACACTGGCTGTGTTCCACTATATTCCATGAGTTACTCCCCTCATTCATTGATACGATGAATCAATTAAAGTAAATACAACGTAGTACGTCAAGGTGCAGACAGGATTTGACGTCAGAAATCCATTCAATTTTCAACAAAAGGTCTCAGGTGTCCACCCCCCCCCCACACAAAAAAAAAAAAAAAAAAAAAAAAAAAAAAAAATTGAGGTTGTCACCATTTATTCTATTTTACGTGTTAAAAAATAACTTGGCCTAGTCGCATGAGGTATAAGCTTGACGAGAACCACTGTATTTTTTAAACACAGTTGTATCTGTCCCACGCAAGTCTTCGACTGACGCTCTTTCGTTTGGTACGCTTCATTGACAATAAGTAATAACCAAACCCTGTTCAAACGTATGACGCTATAGCTGGCAGATTTGGTTCACTGCACGTTGCATACTGTTAAATCTCTAAACTTAAGTGTTTTTTTTCTCATTTTTAGGCCCCCTTTTAATCCTAATAACCGAGAGCGGTCTATAAAATGTGTTTGATTTATTTATCAATCTTTGAATGCAGAGAAAAACAGCTATAATAAACTGGAGGAATACTTATAATAATTTCTTATTTTGCAGAAGCTTTTTTTTTTTTTTTTTTTTTTAGTTAAACGAGATTCAATTTCAGTATTAAATATAGCCGTATTTTGACCAAATGTGACGTCATTTCCTACATAAGTTAAAATAAAAAAAAAATTTTTTTTTTTTTTTTTTTTTTTTTTTTTTTTAGTGAAACGAGATTCAATTTCAGTATTAAATATAGCCGTAATTTGACCAAATGTGACGTCATATCCTACATAAGTTATTTATTTATTTTTTAAAAAAAATGACATTGATCCCACCTGTGGCTCCAACATTGGCCACAAACGTATTCCTCGGTCACCGTATTAAGTTCAAATATGAAACAATAAATAAAAACTAGAATTAAAATTTGTCAATTTCTCACCCTAGACCAACTACGGAGATCATTAGTTGTCTGAACGTAATACAAGACATAAAACAGTAAAAAAAACAACAACAAAAAAACAACCAAAAAAAAAAAAAACACATAAACTCTCACGTGCCACCATCTCCCAAATAAACTTTTTAAAAATTAGTGACAATGAACTCATTAAAAAAAAATTTTTTTTTACGAGTTCAATGTCACCAATTTTTTGTGTGTTAAATTGGTGAAATTGAACTCATTTTAAAAAAAATTATCTTTTTAAAAATAATTTCTTTTAGATGCTCCCTTCTCTCATGTCGTCATATCAATCTTCTCTCATGTCGTCATATCAATCTTCTCTCATGTCGTCATATCAATCTTCTCTCATGTCGTCATATCAATCTTCTCTTATGTCGTCATATCAATCTTCTCTCATGTCGTCATATCAATCTTCTCTCATGTCGTTATATCAATCTTCCCACTCTCATGTCGTCATATCAATCTCAGGTACATTATTCTATAGAAAAATACAATAGTTTATTGGCTAATAATAATTTAAAAACTGCTGATTACCCCCATGATATGATGGTGCTTCAATAACACATCAGACTCAATCTCAGTTACTTTTTTTCCTAACCTATTTTCTTGTGTTCCTCTTTTATTCAACCACTGAAAACGTGTATCATCCTACGTGCTACATAGTATCCTCCTAAGTGCTACATAGTATCATCCTATGTGCTACATGATATCATCCTACGTGCTACATAGTATCATCCTACGTGCTACATAGTATCATCCCACGTGCTACATAGTATCATCGTATGTGCTGCATGATATCATCCTACGTGCTACATAGCATCATCCTATCTGCTACATGGTATCATCCTATGTGCTACATGGTATCATACTACGTGGTACATAGTATCATCCTACGCGCTACATGGCATCATTCAAAGGACTAACCTAATCAATCTAATTCCATATTTAGCAAACACCAACCTTGATCACTGAACCTCGAACGCCAAAAGATAGTTCCAGCCCGTCAATGGAACGAATCAATACATCAAATGGTATGAAAGCCGAAACAAACTCCACGGCTAAACATTTGCGAGGCTTTACTCAGATCAACTGGAACAGGTTGTTTTTTTTTTTACATTCTCCAGGTCGAAAATACGATAAAAAATATTCCATTAATGAAAATCAATCCGAAATCGAATTTGTCATCATGGGCTCGTAATTGCCAGAGAACATTAACGGTTCAATTTAGGAGGTCTATCCATTGACTCAACACAACTTTAAAAAAAAATAAAAAAATTGTGCTCTTCGGTTCGGTGAATTTCTAATAGGTTCGACTGTTTTTTTCTTTTCGTGTCGTGGCTATAAAGGCGAATCGTTTAAAAGCAAACATCTTTTTATCAGCACGTCCTGTTGTAAGATTTAAGATTCTCAGCAAAATGGATTCCACAAGATTGCAAGGCGTTGAACAGATTTCAACGCGTCACATTACAAAGACGTGTCGGTCTATTAGAGACTCGCATTGCTTGCATTTAAACGAACTGCGAAAGAACTGGTAAAGAATGCTACGACAGAACGAGTGCTATGACTGAAAACAACCTAGAAGTAGTCCGTCAGGGGGACGAGATAAGATGACTAAAGTAAACGTTAACAACCAATGAGATCACATCTCTCAGTCTTGGTATCCGTTAACCATCCCAATCCGTTGTGCAACAATGATTTCTCCAAACCTTTGGCATCTTTTAAATCCTATCCACGACTGATGCTAACAAGTTCGAGGTTCTCTCAGAATGTCGTACTCCAAGTGTTTTAAAGGACATTCCTTGCATTAGAAATTAGTTGCGAATCCTTTGCTCTACCCCCATACCCACGCTGATTGCACCTCAAACGCGTTATGAGAACAGCAACTGTGATTCGAAGGACTTCTTTCAATTTTACCCAATAACTAAAGTTAATCGCCGTTATCTTTATAAGATATATCTGAAGGAATACATTCAGTGTCTCGGCTACACTATCAAATCATTTGTTGTCATCTTCTGTGTTTCACTGTCGAGCAGTGCTTTAAGATACTTTCCTCTTCTGAGCCAACCATTGTGCTCTGTCCAATCAAAATTTGAGCACTTATATTTATAATTTAGACGTATCACTAAGTTGTCCCACATCCGATGCCAGAGAAATACTTTAAAAAAATAATTTAAAAATTGAGAGCGTAATTCATGGATATCCTCCTATAGTTATTTGAAATACAATTCCTTTAATTTTTTTTTTTTAGTTTAAATTAAAAAAAAAAATATTGACCGTTTCCTAATAATTTAGGAATAACTGCAACCAGTTTTTTCCCTGTTCACACCCACTAATGACAACGTTATCATCCTCCCAGTCCTGTCAGCGGGGCCATGATTTCAAATACCTCAGCAATCCATCACACGCTTCTTAACAAACTCTCAGACAATCTTCGGGTCACTTACCAAACTCACTAAAGGGAATCATCAAGAGAGAGCGGTCCAATGATTAGAATACCCTCACACTAAAACTGTGTGAAAATGCATGATAGTGCTGTCCCATACCTAAAACACTCTCACACCAACATTGTGTGTAAATACGTCACAGTGTTGTCCCATACCTAAAAAACTCTCACACTAAAATTGTGTGAAAATACATCAGTGTTGTTCCATACCTACAACACTCTCGCACCAAAATTGTGTGTGAAAATGTCACAGTGTTTCAATGTAAAGCCATGTTTCTGCTGGTTTTCAGCTCGTCTGTTCCCGCCGGCGCCCCCCCCCCTCCCCCAACCCCCACATTTTCTAGTAATGTTTGCATGTGCAGGAACCGCTGTCGCAGCCTTGAATCTTATTATTGAAATAATTTAGGGAAGGTGTAGAGACATCGTACAGCTTAAGAAGCAAGTCATGCGGAACGAGCCCTTCAGAAGATCTCTTTCAATGGCCCAAAATGTGCAACCCAGGAACGGTAACTCTTTTGAATTTGTTCTAAATAAAAACGACGCGATCGCCGGAAAGGGAAGTAATAATTAATTGTGTTTGTTAAATTCATCCCTTGCTAAAATTAGGGGTGGTGATAGCTGCTTCTTAGTTCTCCTACCAGTAGACATAACAGTCCCGATAATACTATTATAAACTTAAAACTGATTTTTTTTTCCAGCTTTGTATTTGTTGTTGAATATTGTTGAACTTTTGTACATGATACGGCATTTGATACCTAAAAACAGTTAAGAAATTAGCATACACCATTGGATAATGGATTGTTAGTTTAGTAAATATGCACCTATTTGGTATAAAACTCCAACACTCACATCCTTTCCCTTTTTTTTGCCATTATGTGATTGTACGTGATTTATCATTTATTAAGAAGCAGTTTTGTGAATGTGTAAACTTTTGGCTAAAACTAATGTTTTTCCGACATTTTCCCTTTAAAACATACATTAGATTTTTACTGCAATGGCTTTTTTTTTATCTGAGCCCCCATTCCAAATACGTAAAAAAAAAACAAGCACATAGCAACAGCTATAAAATCTCCACATCAAAACATTTTAATAAAGCATTAACATTCCTCCCCCTTTTGAAAACAGGAAAAACTGAGTTTTGGGTGTTGGTGGTGGGGAGTGGGGCCAAAAATGTGAAACAATGTGTTGTCATCTGCGAGTCTGGGTGCCAAGTTTCAGCTCGATAGTTTGTCGGGAAATGGATCAATTAGCTTCCCTTTGAAAAACAGGATGAACTGATTTTTTTTTTGGGTTGTGGTGGGTGGTGCTGAAAATTTGATAGAATGTGTCATCATCTGTAATGAGTCGATGTGCCAAAGTTTCAGCTTGATAGGATGACAGGAAGTGGGTCATTTAGCCTTTGGAAGATTTTGCCACAAACACACAAAGTTAATATAAAGGATATAAAAAATTTATGTACTCGAATGTAAAAAAAAGTCAACGTAGGGCACACTTTTTAATATAATTTTATTATTCTTTTTATCGTTCAACATGGTGTGGATTGTCAACAGAGTGAAACAACAACAAATAGTTTAAAATAAGTAAATGAGGTCAAATTTTTTAAATGATAAAACTGCTTGATATACAACTACCAGTCCTAACAATTATTTACTGTTTCAGTAGTCAACTAACATAAAAGGAAAAAAATTAACATTTACTACTTAAAATAAACAATTGCTACTTTTAAAAATACGTTGAATGTACATTTAGAAGGCTAAATATGATTTCCAACTATAGAATATGTAACAAATTACGCATAATGTTTTATGCAGACAGACTTTTTTCATTCAAAAATTTAGAATGATTTTTATTTGAAATTTCAAAATGTTTTATCATTTATCAATAGCCCATGAATGTGGTTGGTGTTTCAAGGTAATAAAAAAAAAAATTAACAAAATGATCACAAGTAAGGGAATAAATATTAATTTCTTAAATGCCCTCAAACCTTTACAAAAAAAAAAAAAAAAAAAAAAAATTATAAAATAAATCAAAACATTCAAATTAACTGTATTTAAATAATTTTATATAAAATAAATTTTTAAAGAAATATGTTGTGGTTAAAGTCAACACAAAAAAAAAAAATAAATGCCCTCAAACCTTTAAAAAAAAAAAAAAAAGAAAATAACATTATAAAATCAATCAATACATTCTAATTAACTGTATTTAAATAATTTTATATAAGATTAATTTTTCAAGTAATATGTTGTGGTTCAAGTCCACACAAAAAAAAAAAAACCCAGTGAAATCCTTTTAATTTGTCCACTCTGAGAACAGGATGATTTTTGGCGCATTTCATTCTCATAATGATAAAAGAAATTCATAAGTACCTCCTGACTAGGGATCTTGATGGACCGAGTCAGAAAAAGCATATAAGCACAGACATCTAAAGATAGGAACATTACTTCCTCAATAAACTAAAAACTATATCCCAACCATCCCATGCATTAACTCATCCTTGTGATTCTCTCGTGCTCTGAAATCAATTTCCCGGCTGATAAAAGGTTTGCATTTGTTCAACATTTGCATTCTAAAAATGTGTGTATCTTCATAATGTTTAGTGTTGGGCAAGTGAATGTGAAGATATCTTGGGATCTGAAACTCTGATAGCCATCATGACAATCTAAATGATGAACATCATGAAATACTATCTTTAATGAACTTACATAATATAAACCTGAATAAATATCTCTCAGGAGCAAATTTTTTTAAAGAACTTGCTTCATAACTTAGATGACAGATTTAACAGTGGATCTGAATTATCTCCCTTAGATAGACAAAAATCAAAAAAAATCTGAAGATTCTCTTTTTGAACTCAAATATTTCATTACTTTCTTTAATCACAAATAAACATATTTGATTCCATATTTTTAAATTTTAGGATAAAATAATTTCAAAGGAAAAGTTCTTAATTACACATTAAACAAACTGATTCATTTTCTAAGACAATTATGCTAGAAACACGTCACATATTGAATGAAAACTTAAAATAGTTTTGCATTCAAAGCTTTCTACAATTTTTTTTTTAGTTTTACAGATAAACTGATTATGTAAAATATAAAGTGATCAAAATTGAAAACTACTGATATTGATTATTGAATAGACAACAGTGATTTAATTGTTTTTAAATTTTCCTTTACAAACAAGCAAACAATATTTACTTGAATTTTATACAGTTGTATAAGAGCTGTTCATAAAGGATGTTGGCAAAAGAGGGGGAGGGGGGGGTGTTGAATGCAGACAGGGGGAAGATGTAAGGATCTTGCAAGCTTACACAAGCTACCATTTTTGTCAAATTATTTTTAGGCCAACTGCTTGTATTCCATCCAGTATGTTTTTAAAATGTTAAAACTGTGGATGTCCTCTATGACTGATCAATTTGCGAAATTATAAACGTTAACCACTAAGAAGTTAGTAAAATTTCACTCTAAATATTTGGTTGCTATTTACAAACAAATTTAAACAAAGCTTTTAGGACATTTGTCTACTTCTCAGTTCTCGTTAACGTCAATTGATTTATATTACCAGACATATTTCAAAGCATATTAAATCTAGTGACTCAGCGCTCTTACTTTATACATAATTATACAACTAGAACCTGGCATTTCACACTGTGCAATGCTGATTGCGGACATCCACAACTGGGATGTGTGGATAAGAGGGATGAAAAGATGCATATTTAAAATTTTTTTTTTACAGATGTCTTGCATGAACAACTCTCTAGGAATTATGAAGCAAACATTTTTCAGCAGTACTTAAGACAATATGGCAAAATGGAAAACCTGTGATTTTCTTCAATAATTTATTTTTTATAAAACACAATAAAATTTGATGCTACATTTGAGTGCATTTGTCAATTAACAAAAAATATTTTACTGAATAAATGTTAATACAAGCCTTTTAAAAATGTTACGATATCAAACATTAACAAAATTATGTAACTCACCAAGCTTTAAAGGAAACAAATTATGGGCAGTGCAAGTTGTCTGTGCAGTATGTCCAACTGTGATAGGCCAGTTACATTATTAGCAGATGTTTATGCCTGCCTTATCCACAGTTTGATTAAAGCCTGATTAGCCTAAAACCTTGACCTGTATGCCAGCATCATCACGTCAACAGCCATTTATGCCAGCAAGAAATTAATGAAAACAGCTTTGACATTAAATGTAATCCGTCAGAGATGCTGTTAGAAGATACTAAGGAACAGCTACAGCGAAGAGTAGATCCTAAAAACAAGCAGATTAACAAGGCTGGAAAGGAGAGTTGCACTGTTCTCCTAGTAACATTTTGATCGCACATCTTACACCTACCACAGTAACACTTCCTTAGAATAATCACTGGATGCCACCCTAGGGAAATAGTAAGCTAAGAAGGAAAAGCTAACAAAGAAAAATGATCCACTTCCAGAATACCTTAAAATTAAATAAAAGCAATTAAAGTGTCTAGTTCCTCAAAATTGCAGCAGGCAGAGACATGGAAATCAGCTGTTGCCCAGCCCAATGCACTACAGGGGGAAGGGGGGAGAAAATCAGCTGTCCTCACTTAAAATGATATGATAATTGAAAACAGAATTTATTTGAATATCATGTTATGATGATGTGATACTGAAATCTCATGCAGCACAATTGAGGTCTTTACTGCATAAAAAACAACATTCTTCCTTCATTCTTGTTTAGGCCAGATGTTCTGAGTGCTGTCAGAAGGCCCGGTAAGAATATGAATGAATTGTGAAGCAGACCAGCACTGGAGGGATAGTTACACAGTCATATTGACAGTCATCACAATCCAAGGGATTTCCGAACTGTGACTTTTGCTATTTCTTCAAATCCTTTCCGATCATCTCTCCACGTTTTTGCAGCATCCACATTGGCTGCACTTTCATCATTAGGCTCTAAAAAAACAAAGTGTATATATTTCATCATTAGGCTCTAAAAAATGTATAAGGGAAATGATAGTGTAACAGATGATTTCAAATAATCTATGCATGTGCTCCTCCTCACTGTGCTTGTCTTCTAGAGGTTGTACATTTCTCTTTGAGTAAGTAAGGTATCTACATTTAAATAAATATTTAAGAAGTTTTAATGAGTTCAAAATAAGACATTCTATCAAATCCTGAACTGTATGGCTGTATTACAAACGTACCAAGGAGTAAGAACTAAAGTTCGTAAAGTAATAACCAAGCTGACCCCAATGTTTCAATGAAGAATGTATTTTAGTTTATGTAAGTATACATAGCATATGAGAATATAATTAACAAATGAATATTTAAGTGAAATAATACATATATATGAACAGTTACTTACCTGCCAGCATACTGACTACTGAAAGTAAAATTTTTTCTACACTTTGCACAGGACTCCACCTCTCTGCGCTTGTTTCATAACCCATCGGGTCATCTCCAGGTGCATGGAGAATTGAGATACACACTCGGCCATCAGGATATACTGAAAGAGAGAACAGAGTTAACAATCTTGATTAATTTTTTTCATCATTTCAAATCTTACAGCAAGGCTCTTTCTCAGCTTTAGATACAAGTTCATAAGGGTTACAAATTAATTGTAGCATATGGCCAGAATACCAAACTCTTCCTATAAATTTCAAGAGTGCTCTACTTAACAGTAAAAATGATGAAATATTGTTTCAAGCTCTCAATATCAAATATTAAAAAAATACATTCAGTGATTGGTAAAGTAATAGGGTGTATAATACAAATTTATCTTTTACTCCATAGTAACATAGAACAAAACCGAATTGAGACAAAATTATATCCATATTTAAACATTATATTCTTATTATTCATAAATTAATTATTAATTTAAATTCTAGGACTTAAATTGAAGGAAAAGTAAATGAAATCCATTGTCAAAGTAAAAATTTGCAAACATTTAATTATTTATTTGCAATCTTTTCTTACAATAAGAACCAAATTTATTTGGCTTTAAAAAGTTATTGTCTTTTTAAATTACATACCAAGTAACAGATATAATTCCATTATTATAATTAATTAAGGGCGGAAAATACAAAAGCAACTGTTAATGACTTACTGTTTGGATGGAATAATTCACAACTGAATTTCATTTTGGGAGGGCTTAGAGGATAATCTGGAGGAAACGTCAAACGTGCTGGAAAAACACCACCTTCGAAACATGTATCTTGTGGTCCCCTGGTTAAAAAAAGTTTTAATTAGCTTAATAATGTTAGACAAGAAATACATTTTAGTTTGTCTTTTTAATGGTGCCAAAACAATTTGATCATAAAGACATTTTTTGTAGGGAAAATGACAAAATCCTAGAAATCTAATTAATACTTATTAAATAATTTTTTGAAAAATAAATAAAAAGGTAATATAAATTTGGTAATCCTATACTTGCTTTAACGGCTCATTAAAAAGATAATACCCAAATATTGATATGGATAAATTGTCAAATTTTAGGTTCATTTATGGGTCGTGATAAAAATCTGAAGTCAGTGGTTGTGTCTTAGATGCTGTTGTGCTGGTATGTCAGTCATGGCACATGATTATAGGTACGTCACTGCTTGCTTGTCGCAGACTTTTTCCAACAAAACACATGAACTCATTAAATAGTTTGTGCTAAACGTAAAATTACAGTTAAAAATATCAAATGTACCTAAATACAGATGTGGAAATGTTTACTTACATGATTAAAGCTTCCCATTCAAAGAAATTCTCTTCATCAACTGGACCAGCTATGATGCCTTCTGGAGGATTCAGTGTCAACTCTGCAGTTAAAACAAAATAATTTCAAGACATTGAAACACCATATGGATGAGCCAGATTCCTATTCGATGTATTTGTGGTCACTAGAAATGCTCTATAAATGCAGTTTCCCTTTTCCCCTCAGAATACCCAAACCCGCTACCAGAACAAAAAACAGCACCAGGCTCAGCATTAATTCCCCAGATGTCTGTGTTTGCACCAGGCTCAATCCTTAGACATTGGTAATTGGTTTACCAGCAGAGCCGCTATTTCAATAGTCAATACACAGCCTTTATAATACAATAAATATGGATAGACCAAAATATATTAGGTCTAGGTACTTTGACAAAAAATTAATATTGTCTTAAACTTATTGATATTAGTGCCATAAAAGATATATCATATTAAAGGGCTAGCGCTAAGCTTTTTATCTTTCTATCTTTTAATTTATAGAAGTGGACCACTAGAGAATAGTGGAGTTATGATTTTTTCCCTTCAAATTCAATTTGTTAAGTTTAAGCCCCTTGCCTCGCCTTATTATAATTTGAAAGTGTCTATGGTAGTTTACTACCTATAGCTTCTAGTTAGGGCAGGGAGCTATTTGTAGTAAACTGCCAATAGCTTCTATAGAGCTATTGGTAGTCCAGGCAATCAAATCAAACCAAAATCTGAGCTTTAAATACCCTCTTCCAATGAGGCTGGCGAAGTATTGCCCCATTCATTTATGAATAGTTTGTACTAGTGACAACACCTCGGCACTAATTATAAAATCTACAGTACTGTTTTACAGTTTTAACATTATCTGCTGCAGCCTTCCCCACGCTCAAATTTGGCTATATTGCTATATAATTTAAAATATAGACCTAATATAGATCTTAGATAGATGTATGATACTGGGGGGAAAGGGAATCAGGTTCTTCTTTGCCAAGACCAAAGTAAGATGTGCAGTAAAAATAAAATCCAGCTGTAAACATTTTGTGTGTGCTAATTATTATGATCAAAATTATAAATTAAAATACAGGCCTAAATAATTACCATAAGAAGTTTTACTGCATACAAAGTGTGCATATTAAAATCAAAATCTTTTTACTTTAGTTAAATGAAACTGTATAAAGTATAATAACATGATTATAATTAGGCTTAACGATGATAAAATAAGCTTAGGCCAATCATTGTTTAGGTCACTTGAACCAACACACACACACACTAAACCCCCCCCCCCCCCCCCCCCCCACTCCTTACTTTTGATTTTCTGTTGTTGGGAGAAATTTATACTGAGTGTTATTTACATAAATGAGCCCTCATTAACTTATAAAGGCATCAATATTTTTATGTACAATTAAACAATTTCATTGGGTATATTGTGCAACTATAACACAAATTAATCAATTTAATGTCTAGGAATCACTATTAATTTTTTAATGCTATGCAATGCAGGGTAGGCAGAATCAATGTTTTAAACTACATAATTTTGATGAAAATATAAGCAGTTATATGGACATAAATAAAATATATACAAAGAAAGAAAAATAAGTGTATTATGTCTTGAAAATCCGATTGGAGTGAATTTATGAGACTAGACACAAACAATAAACTTTGTTGGCACTTGACATGTTTTTTGTGTGTGGCAACATACACTTTAGACATTAGAGAAATTTCAGTGTTATAATCAAAAATAAATTCAATTTAAAATTGTGACTACCAATAATTCAATAATTATTGCACTAAATCAATCTATCACCAATTGGGGTCGCTTTTTTTTTTAGTAAACTACCAATAGCAGCTTGGAAGAAGCTACTGGTAGTTAACTACAAATAGCTCCTAAAGCTATTGGCAGTTTACTAACAATAGCCCACAGTCCACGGTCTTATATTATATTAATATAATTTATATAATTTATCCCCAAAACTTGTGCCCAACATTTAAAATAGCCCTTTTTGCCTAAAAGTCTAAAGCAGTAAAAAATCTATAATCTATATATATATAAATTATAGGACCTATCTTACCCTATGCCTATACTATTGTAACTATTGTCACACTGACACTGTATTTATAAATTATAATTTATTGTCAATTGTGAGGAGTCGACGTGTGGCTTCTGATTCTGAAGTATACTGAACTCTTTTATTTTTATATAATCATATTTATTATAGTAATACTTACGCTTATATTCTGCCATGAGTCTTTTCAAAGCAGAACCAGCCATTATTAAAACAAGAATTAGAATGAAAAACCTATGAAATAAAAAAAAAAACGGAATATACCAAAATTATAATTTTGGACTTGGTAAGAGCAAACACAACACACTACACAGGGTGACAGCCTCCTTGCTTGTACACACATTACCTGGCACGTTCTGTTGTGATACATTTTAAATGGGTAGAAAGATAACAACCAAAAATATTTATGAAAACCTTTCAGAATTTAATACATTTAAAATATTTTTGAATGCTTATACTTCATATATTATTGAAAGTTACTCAACGGACAGATAAACTAATTTTTCATTACTTTATTCCTTTAAAAGGCGTCTTAAAATTTGCAGTAACAACTGGCAAATGACTTATGCGGAATCGTCATTATTGGTGTGTTGCGCGATTTATTTTTTTTATTGACTCCCTCCACCATATCTGTATTTTAATAAACAAGAGTATTGTGTAAATTGTGAGGGTTACTATGTGGGTTGAATTTATACCTTTTAATAATGGTAATAAAAAACATTTCAATTAAACCTTGAAGTCACAAAAGAAGCTGATCTGACTGATACTGGATAGACCCTGCTAATTTTAATGGCACTATCGCTATGACTAGCACTAAGACTAAGGCAAAACCTAATTTCGACTCGACGGTTAAAAACCATTCTCATAATGAATATATTATGTAAACACTGTGTCCATTTTATGTTAAAATAAGTCAAAAAGAAGAATGCCAAGTTATAAAAACGTCAGTTAGCTGTGTTGGCCTAGACTAACTTTTACTAACAGTAGGTCTGAGTAGGCTCGGTAGGCCTACATTTATCATGATTATTGAACTGACTTTCACTACTAATAGTACTATCAATGTCAATATTTTGAGCATCATGTTGTTATGTAAGCAAATAACTCAAATATATTAATATGACAGTAGCATTGCGAAAATTCCTAATAAAATACGTGTGTTGGCTTGCAGTGACTATTTCTATTTCCTTGACCTCAACGCGTTACTGATATTTCAATGTGTGTGAGGGGGCGGGGTGTATGGGGGGCGGGCTGCAATCAGATTTAGGCCTCACCTAGCTGTGAAAAGCACACGTAAAAAAATAAATAAGGAAGCTATTGGCTTAAACTTAAAGCGCTCGTTTGTATACAAATACGTTGTATGGTTGTTGTGTCTAAAGAAAGATTATGATTATGTGTAAAGTTATGTGTTAAGAAACCTTCTGCCTCCTTACGTAAGTTAAAGCATCTTGTGACTTGTCTCGCCTTGTGTGTTTAAAAATAATTATTTCAAATTTTAATGTAATTAGTAAATAAATAAAAAATAATGTTTCAATTAAAAAATCTCTTATCACTCGTTACTATCACAGCCATTTTTTTTTCATTTAAAGAAAACAACAAAAATTAAATTAGTATTTATATTTATAATTTTATTTATAATTTAAGTTGAAGTAACGCAATGATTAAAATGCGTCAAAAGTTAACAATATTCAACATAGACTTGGTTTCAGTCATTTTGATCCAACAAAATAATCAAAAAAATTTGTAATATAAATTTATAAAACGAATTATACGGCCGTCGACTAATATTAATAATGAAATGGACCTAACTGCTGTTTATATCACCGGATGGGCGCGGCTGAAATTATCGACCAGCAGGGGTCAGGGCATTTTTTCTACGGACACATGGGAGGGACGCGTCTTTTGATGGTGGCAGCTGGGTGTTCCAGCTGTCAATCAAAGCAAAACTAGGCCGGATACACAACGGCCATGACGATGAATATGAAAGCGCGTAGACAAATAGTTCCAAAATAATTTAATATATTTTCTTAGCATTGTGTTATTAAAGTGATTTGATGCGAGTTTAATATAAATAAATTAATTTATAATAATTTTAATTGCAATTATTTTGATGTTTCATCAAAATAAGGAGTGAATGAATACATGTGTGTAATGCGAAGGTTGGGTCTCCACTTCCCAGGTCAAAACAACTCTTTGTGCCTTCTCCTCGTGTGATTCACGAACGACATTTACAATGACATACTAATCGTTAATTTATTGTTTAAATTGACATAATGGCGACAACAAATGGTAACAGAGGTAATTCTGATTACGCTGCTGCTACAAGTTCATCACAGGTAAAGTATTTTGTCTTCAATTTCTAATTTTGTCAATGAATCGTATTTTTTATTCGATAATATCCGCCATTTCTAACAACACCCCTTTCTGGCTCCGCCTTGCAGGACGCTCAACCCTCACCCCTTGCTATGCTGGCGGCGACTTGTAGCAAAATTGGATCGCCCGCCCAAAGTGAAGAACAAGGGTATGGACAGGGAGGGGATTCCAGTGTTAGGGTGGTCGGGGCGGGGCAAGGTGGGAGCACAACAGACGCAATGGCAGGTTGGATGCAGTTATCGAACGGAACCATCGTTAATTCTGCTGGAAAACCTATCAACAATGTAATCCAACAAGCCACTTTGTCGAATAACGTAGGCGGCCAGCTGTTTTCTCAAGGTCAACAAATTGTTGCTACTCAAGGCCCTAACGGACAATTAACTTATAGTGTAATGCCGTCTTATCAGGCAGTAAATATAGACGGACAAGATGCATTTATTCAAGAGGCTTTTATTATACCCTCTTCTGGCGGTCAAGCTCAGCATGGTCTACAACAAGCTCAACAAACGATGATAACACCTTCTGGTCAGATAATCAGAACTCAGGGTATTCCTGCTGCTTCAGCACCTACAAATCTCTTCCAACATGTTTCAGGGTTGGGGGGGTTGGGAAATTTTATAAACATAGGGGGTAATTTGATAAGTCTCGGTGGTGTTCAAAATGCGGTCAGACAAAATGGAAATATAATGCAGGCAGTACAGATACCAGGATTCCAAACAATTCAACAAATGCCAAATATTATCCAAGTGCCTGTCTCAATAAATGGTCAGACAGTTCTTCAAACCATCCAACTCCCCGCTCAAAACATTCCTATTCAGACACATATTCAACAAGTTGGGGGAGGTGGCCTAGTCTCATTAGGCACAACACCCCAATCTATTCAGACTTTTATGGCAACACAGGCTCAGAACCAAGCCCAACAAGCCATGGCTGTTGCTCAGGCAGAAGAATCCCAAAACCACGCTCAAAGCAATCAAAAATTAGATCTAAAACCAAATCCAGCCCAATTAAATATCACCAACACATCCCAGGCATCAAAAATGCCAGGTTTGACTTTGGCTAGCAACAATTCTGGTGTTCAAACTTTGAATGTCATAAATACTCCACAAGGTCAAGTCATACTGTCCCAACCTGCAAATCAAAACCAGGTATCACTTCCCACTTTGACTGTCCCCTCCTACCCACAAACCATCACAGCATCATCTGGATCTTCCACTACCACATCAACAAGCACACAAAACTCTGCCATGTTACAAAATGTGCTGGCTCAGCAACAACTTCTTCAAGGCATGGCCAACGCCCAAAGTATTGGAGGTATTCAACTTACCAACCAGGGACAAATAAATTGGCTTCCGGTAAGCTCTTTTTTCTTTAATTATAATAAAGTTTCTATAGTGGATTTAAGAATTAAAGTTTTAAAATTTAAGCTTGTTTCTTCAAACTAGCATGATTTGAGGGTTGAATTAGTATGATATCACACTGTCTAAAATGTATTGCCCTATAAGCTATTCAGGCTTGCATTTATTTTTTACTGGTTGCTAGAATAAATTTAATATAATTGTCCAATTTGACATCAGGCATTCAACATGCAGGCACCCAGAGCACCTGGTGTGCAGACAGTACAGCTGCAAAACCTGCAAGGATTGCAGAACATCCAAGCATTCCCTGCACTGCACAGCTTGCAAAGCCTGCAAGGAATGCAGGTGGGTGCACATCATGGCCATATATAAATATACACATCATCTTTTTGTTAAGCTGATTTGTGTATTAATATCCAACTGCCAACATCTGTATGTTTGCATGATGTGATAAAAACAGCCAAGATTTTAAAAATAAGTCCTTCAGTTGAAATAGTGCTTCCTGTTTTAACATTCTGAAGAGAAAATTGATGTAAGATGTATAAGAAAATAAGTTCAAACACCATTCAAACACATTTTAGAGCCCATATTTGTAGCTTCACAAATGTTAAAATTAAGGGTAATTATCATCTACCTATTTAATGGTACTTTGTGAAAGGAATATATATATATATTACACACACACACACACACACATATATATATATATATATATATATATATATATATATATATATATATCTCTGTCTCTCTCTCTACAAACACACACATATATATATATATATATATATATATATATTGAGATTTAGAAAAGATACAGTAATACAACTACAAACAATGATAAACATATTTTTTTATATATATATTCACACATGTTAAAAATAAAAGTATATATCATCTATCTATATATTGATATTTTGTGAGAGAAATATATATATATATAACACACACACACACACACACATATATATATATATATATATATATATATATATATATATATATATATATCACTGTCTCTCTCTCTACAAACACACACATATAAATATATATATAAATATATGTATATTGAGATTTAGAAAAGATTCAGTACTACTACTACAAACAATGTTAAACATATTTTTTTTATAGTTCCTTTTCATGGGCAAAAATAATCTCTTGGCTGAAAGTGTATTATTTCTTAGTGCTCTAACATACATTTTCTAGTATTTTCTTTTACTGTTATGAATGTTTTCAGCCAATAACTCAGCAAGGACATCTCATCAACAATGGTTCTATGCCTAACCTAGGAACTGTTGCAATTGGGACACCAGGCGGGACCATTAGTGCCATTCCTCTGAACACACAGCAGAATGCAATGCAAGTGGCAACAGCTGCACTTGGTCAACAAGGCGTCTTAAGTATGAAATGAAATAACAGCATTTATATCCTTTCTTTTTCTGTTTTTGTTGTCTCCTGTTAGTCATTTTATGGAATTCATTTATTTTTACATATTTTTTTGCATTTTTTTTTTTTTGTTGAATACTAAGAAAGTTTTTCTATATGATTTTAGTTTATTATTAAAAAAAATATTATTTATGAAGTTACATCTAAAATAGGGCATTGAATTTTAGTTTATAATTTCAGCTTCAGCACAGATTCAACAAGATCCAAATGACCCCACAAAGTGGCAACTTGTGAACAGCATTCCACAGACAACATCCTCTGTCAGTGTTGGCACAACCCTTTCGGTTGAATCTCCGTCTGCTAATGCTGGATCAGGCAATGAGAGTACACCAAGCGGGAGAAGAGTTCGAAGAGTGGCTTGCACTTGCCCCAACTGTATTTCTTCTGAAAAGTAAGACTTATAAACATATTTTTAACACATTGAGACATGCTTAATATATGTTACTTGTTAACCCCAAAACTTAGCTCTTTAGTTAGTGAGTACATAACTTTCATGTTCATTTTTTAAATTGTTTGTATAACAAAAATACTGCCATAAATTCACTTACAGCATGTAATATTACTGCCTGTGAGATTTGATTTCAAAGTTTACAAAGTCACAAATTAAACATAATGATTACTACTAAAAAAATTATATCCATGACCATACAAAATCTATGTGACTCAGAATTAGTACATCATTTCATTTGTGATTTTGTAGATAATTTTGAAACCAACTACTTGTTGCTGAACAGAAGCGGTCAGATGAAACTATTAATTTAGGAATGGAATTTATTTTGATATCCATACATGCAAAGAATAATGTTTAAAAATTATAAGGAAATATTGCAAAATGAAAAAAGAAATCTTTTGAATTTTGCATTCCTTTTTTGCTACATCTATATAAATTTATATCTAACTCTTCAGTATTGCAATAAGCTCATACAATCTCTGACCACCTTTATTTTTCCAGACATGTAGGTGGTGAAAACAAGAAAAAACAACACATTTGCCACATTGAGAATTGTGGTAAAGTTTATGGAAAGACATCTCATTTACGTGCTCATTTACGGTTTGTATTTCTTCTTAAGTATTCATTTTACCCTGCAAATACAATGACTTAAGTGTGAGAAAATAACATCAGAATTGTTGTGGTTTTGTGGTCACCCAACCATTTAAAAATAATGCCTGAAAATTATCCTCAATTTATATTTGCCTGCAGGCTATCAGTTTAATATTGTTTGTCCCAATAAATGTGGGCATTACTGCCATTTGTAAGTGCAATGAGCATATTTAACACCTATGGTTATTTATTTAACAGGTGGCATTCAGGCGATAGGCCATTTGTGTGTGGCTGGCTGTATTGTGGGAAGAGATTTACAAGATCAGATGAGCTGCAACGACACAAGCGAACACATACCGGTGAGATGATAGATATACCTGTTCTTCTTTTTGGCAGATTTTGTTTTAAAATGTTTGACTCTTAATTTTTGTTATTCGATAACCTTGAATTAATTTTCACTAGATATCAAAATGTACTTGCTAAATGAAATATTGCATTTAAAAAAAAGTAATAAGAACAGCAGCAATACCCCGGAAATAATAGCTCTTTTTTCTTTGTTGTGTTGGACTTCATACGGATCAGTTTCTAGTGCTTGACAAGTTCAACAATCCAATCTCAGGTCTTTTTAGTTTTTGTATCAGTGTCAAGCTTTCCTAATTAGTTGCTTCCCTTGGACTGACACTTGTCATTGGGAGAAGTTATAAAAAAAAAAAAATTCCCACTTGTATTTTGTTGAAAATAAGAGAGCATTTTGGTGGGAGACTAAGACAGAAGTTATAACCATAGTTAATATAATAATAATATTGCATGTTTTTTTTTTTTTTAATATAATAATTACTTCAGTTATATTAGAGTCCAAAAAAATTCTAGTGATAGTAACAGCAAATATTGAAGGTTTGAGACAACAATGTTAAATTCAAATGAACTAATTACACTTAAAAAATTTCCACTTGTATTTTGTTGAAAATAAGAGAGCATTTTGGTGGGAGACTAAGAAAGAAGTTATAACCATAGTTAATATAATAATAATATTGCATGTTTTTTTTTTTTTTAATATAATAATTACTTCAGTTATATTAGAGTACAAAAAAATTCTAGTGATAGTAACAGCACATATTGAAGGTTTGAGACAACAATGTTAAATTCAAATGAACTAATTACACTGATATAAGCCAACACATCTTAAGATTGTATAAGTCTTTTTTAAAAAACATCTGTCCAAAAGGACAAATTATTCCTTTTTTTAATATCTGTTGAGTACTTTTAAATTAATTATTCTTATTCTTATAACTTTATTATCTGTGCAAACTTAGCCTTATAATAATGAGCATTTCAAAGAATATTGACCCATTTCATTCATTGCTGTGCTGTAGGAGAGAAGAAATTTCAATGTCCTGAATGTAGTAAGAGGTTCATGAGGAGTGACCACCTGACAAAACACATAAAAACCCACAGTGTGAAGCGCATGAATGGGGATTCTATCAGCAGCACCCAAGGTTTGTCAATGGTTATAGACGGCTTTCTTAAATAATGCCCTTTTTGGGTAGGTAGATTTTGAACAATGAGAGGAACGAAGATGTTTGGGGGAATAACTTTATTTAAAGTACATAAGGTTAGTTTTCCTTTAATTGAAGGGTTATAAATAATTTCTAATTGATTATGCCAATTTTTTAATACCGTACAAAATTTCTTTATGTTGGTCTCGGTCTGATTTCTTTTAATCTTCAAATGGTCAATGACAAATGTACCCATTAATTTTAGTTTTGTTTTATTCACTTTTGATTATAATTATAGACTAGAATTACACATTTTAATTTGTTAAAAAATAGACCTTAATCACTTTGGGCTACGACTATTTAAACTTCATATTTCATAAAGAGATTTTTTTTTGTGTGGTCAGTTTACACATATATTTACACATTATTTATTTCAATTAAGACTTGATTCATCTTATATTTGAAAAAACATTAATCAATAAAAAGGCATATTTTAACTAGAATGAAAGGACGTTGTTCTCCTTATATGTATAGTTCTTTACATCAATTTAAATGAAATCGGTGGTTCCTGTCAAGATTAATTTTCCCTAATTCAGTGTAATGCATTGTTATGATTTTAACTAATGTGTAATTGAATATTTCAGGGTTGGACATGGATAACCAGATGGATGGTGGAGAGGATGATGAAGAAATGGACGAAGATGAGGAAAATGCATGTGTGATTGATACCGACACAAAAGTGTTTCGGGTTTCGTTGTCGGGTGACGAGGAAGAGGATGGTGATAATGAAGATGGCGAAAAACTGGACAATTTGGTTTCATGATGATGCTTTCCCCATGCTTATGCTGTGATTGGTGATATAAATTTTTACTCTCTTAGTTTTTGTTTACAACTTTTGTATTCATAATATTGTTCCTTTGTGAACAGAATTGAGCTTTCTTGAAAATATAATTCAACCAAAGAGGTCTCCTTTCTGCTCTCAAAATAAGCCATTACTAATTCAGTCTGCTGCCTGAAATCACCTGGGTAAGAATCTTTGAAATAGGTTTTTAGGACTCATTGTTAAAATCATTTGAGTGTGATGGCACCTGAATGTGTTGATATAATGGTTTTTATCCAAACCATTATTTTAATGACAAGCTGTTATGTTAGGTTTTTTTTTGTTTTTTTTTAAGTGGGGGGGGGGTGTTTAAAAGTTGGGTGGGGAGGTGGTTTGAAAAGGGGAGCTGATATTATAAAGTAACAAGTATTTGGTAGCTTAATGTCAAAATAGGACATGAAGACTACTTTGGTGATAATTGTCTTTTCTGTGGATAGGCATCTCAAATATTTTGTGACTATACCAGAAATAGAAATATTGGATTGCACTTTTAGTTTAGTTACATTTTAATTCCTGCAGTTTAGGAGGAAGAAAGGTTTAAGACAGTCTTAATAAATGACTTTAAAATATAGAATTGATTTGGAGCAACTAATGCTTCATCTCTTCTTTTTATAATACATGGTCCATAGTCTCCATTTTTGTCTGGATCGGCTAAGAATTTGGTAATTAGCCTTTGGAGTCATGATCACCACAAAGTACTATAATTTATACACAGACCGCATTAAGTAATCCACCCTTAATGTTTTTAATTGATATTTTTACATACATAAATATATTATATTATCCAGATGGCATAAGGCTTGGTGGAATTAACCGTTGTCCCCTCAATAAAAAAACAACAAAATCTAGCATGTGGAGAAATTTTTTTAAATTTCAAACTTAATGCTATTTATCTTCTTTCTAAAATAAAAAGAAATTTGAAGACGCTCTGAAGGCTGTACTGTGCAATAACGGTGACACTCAATTGCCTAAAAATGCTGATAATATTATTTTGCTTAAGTTTTAATGCATTTTTAAAATATATTTTTTTAACAAGTTACTTTGCATATATATTTCTCAAAGAGGGAAATACCAAGTAGATTTGAATGATTAAGGTTTCTCTAATATACTAAGGTCAGTAGAAAACTCACCTACCATTAGTACCCGGTGTCATATCTAGCTATCACAAAATTTAGAGGGCAAGTGATAGTAAAACAAAGTGTCTTGTAGAAACACATCCCATTATATGCATTGTTTGTCTGGAGGCCCAACACGATTTCCCCACTGGTGTCTTCAAATACCTAGAGATGACGGTCATTGATGTTGTATCATACTGAATTCTTTGTCCAGCAAATTGTATACTTGGTCATTCTATACAGTTGAGCTGTATAATAATGTTTGAGCAGTAACAGTTGTGTTGTTTATGAGACTGGCAAACTTTTTAATTTTACAGAGACAAAAAAAGAGAGACTTTTTTTTTTTACTTCAAGAATTGATGAACAATTTTATTATTATTATCCCATGTCTGAGCTGTATAGCGCCAGGGGTGGTATCCCATGTATGGTCTGTATAGCCCAAAGGTGGTATCCCATCATGTCTGGCCTGTGTAAACCAGGGGTGGTCATCTGTTACAAAAAATAGCTTATGTCTCAAGGGGACATAGAAAAGTAAATTTATGATAGACTTTAGTATTTGTTGACATTTTGGTGGTATAAAATGACTCACAATAATTTCAAATGCAGCTCTAGGATTTTGTTCTCACATGTGTAAAATAAATGATTGGTATTTGAATCATGTGTCATATTTTATTGTTAAAATGTTTTATCAATATTATCCACAACATACAAGCCTCTCAGTAATATAATTAGTTTTTAATCTCATTCGACACTTTTCACACTCTTTAAGATTGATTTTTTTTTTGTGGGTGGCCTGATGATGTTTTTATTTTAATCTCAGGCGGTTAACAGATATGAGACAGTTTTGTACATTATACGGCATACTGACGATGTGTACACAGTACAGCATAATTGGTTTGCACTTGATCTTTTATTGAAACCTGTTATCAATGTAGATAACCGTAATCTTTCATGGTGTTACTTAGCGGAGGTGTACATGGTGGTTAGCAGTGTTTAATTTTGTTGCTGTTTTTCCCAAAGCTTGCTGTAAATAGTTTGGTAAAGCTGTATATAAAGTTTCTATATAAATAATTTGGTAAAGCTGTAAATAAAGTTATTGTTTTATAGATTCATGACATTGCCAAGATTCTATGTGGTTCTGTAAATTTTGTAAGCATACTATTTTATTTTGTGAAGGGGGGTAATATATTATATAAGTTCTATGCCATGTAATTAATGAATATCATTGACAAAACAGCTCCAAAGAAGTGATATTATTATTTTTCTTGCCACCTATAAACTTGTTTACCCAGTCATGTGATGACTGAGAGTGTCCCTTTTTATTTTTTCTTCTTCCAGTGGTTGTCTTTTGTATGTAGAGTGTCATCTTCAGAAACGTTCATTTTAAAATTGAAAAATGTGCAGTAAATGAGTATAAAGGGTATCGTGATGTATTACGAGAAGTTCAGGTCAAACAATATTGTACACTAAGAAGCCTGACCCCTATTTTTAAAAATTATCTAATTTATTGTGAGGCATTACATGATTGGCCCTAGAGGTCCAGTGTGTAGGTACTTACTTACTTATGCCTTTTACCCCGTCAGGGGCATAGGACATCTACAAGAATTTTCCATTCATCTCGGTCCTGTGCTCCGCCATGGCCAGTCCCAAGAGGAGGTGGGTTGGCGTGAGCCCAGATACCTCACCTGTAAAAAACAAACTGCTACAAAGATGTAGGTGCTTCATTGAAAAATGTGTTGTCTAGGAGTACTAGGACACAAAATGTGTCCTTTTTACACACCATCAACTGTTGAATACAAACATGGATACGTTACCTATACCTGTTGCTAATTTTAAGCGTAACAGGTTAATTATTCCAACCAAGGGGGCTTTTGCTCTAAGGCAGTGGTTCTTAACCTGAGTTCGATCGAACCCCAGGAGTTCGGTGAGTCAGTCTCAGGGGTTTGGCGGAGGTCAACAAAAAAAGAAGAAAAAAAACCATATGAAATTGGTGGGGTTCAGTACCTCCAACAAGGTTAAGAACCACTGCTCTAAAGGCAAGATAATGACCATTTGATCAAGGGACAAAATGCATATTGGAATAAAGGGTCTTAACCGCCTTGCTTTCACAGGACATTATTCACTTGTGCCAATATGAACATGATTTTTCTTTGTGTTATAGGGAAAATAAATACCTTTGAATAGGTAGTTGTCATTTTTGATTGAGGAACTTTTTTAACAAACTCTTATTTGTACGCTTTGTAAAAGTCAAATCAGTATTACCATTGTTAATTATGTCACTAGGTTTTCAACCTCAAGTCTGCTTCACTATTTGATAGAAAACTCCATAAGAATTGTTACCTGACAAGGTAAAATAAATTGAGGGTTGATGCATAGAATCCATCCTTTCAAAGATGGTACTTTCTGTTGGATTTAGATTTTGCATTTCAAGTATCATTTGTTATGAGTAGATCTGTATTAATAATTAGCTATTAAAAAAAAACAAAAAAAACCTCAGAACCGCAGGTACAATTTTGAAACTTCTGTAACACACAGAAAATAAAATATTTTTAGATTTACTTGGCGCATCTTGAAAATTATTTTTAAATTAGAGGATGAAAATAAAGGAAAATTATTTTTAAAATGTGAGTCCTTTTGGAAATTTTTCAAATAACCCTCATGTTACAATTATGAATGCCGATTAATCAAAATACTATACTGTTCTTACATGAGTTAATTTTGAAGGCATAAAATATATTTAATTAAGTTTCATTACAGGCGTGATATAAAATAAATTATATTTGTTGTTTTGGTAATGCTTAAATATTTGTTTGCCTATGTAGCTTTACCTAACATGCATAATTGAATTTAGACTGTTTTAGGAATGTAATGGAATTGCTATAATTTATACACACATATAAGAAAGCTTCAGCTTTTGTAGTATGAGGTTATAATAAAGCATGTATAATAAGAGAACACATAGAAGACATCAGTGAAGTGTGTTGAGGGAGAATGTGTGTGAAGCCGAAGAATGTGTGTGTTGTGTTAAAAGAGGATATGTGTTTTAATTTAGTATATGTGGGTGTTAAAGGGGATTGGGAAATCTTTGAATGGATAGGTGTCAAAAACTGTTTAATTTGAGAATTCATTTTTTAATAATTTTTCAATTTGTATAAACACAGTGCTGCAATGGAAAGATAGATTCTATTTGAATAAATGTTTGTACTTGGTCTCTATAACTCCTTTTTTTTTTTGGATGGGTAGAAAAGTGCAGTTAGGTTAGAATTTTCAAATTTTTCAAGAAGTTATTTTTTTCGGCGCCGCCCCACCCACCTATATTTCCCACCTTACTTTCCTTCCTCCTCGCCACAAACAACCAGAACCTGCCATTTAGAGAACATATTAAACGTTTCATTTAAATCAGTGGTTCTCAACCTTTCTAATGCCGCGACCCTTTAATATATTTCCTCATGTTGTGGCGACCCCCAAACACAAAATTATTTTCGTTGCTGCTCCATAGCTGTGGGTATAGTTATATGTGTTTTTCGATGTTCATAGACGACCCCTGGGAAAAGTTTCGCGAGTCCAAAGGGGTCGCGACCCACAGGTTGAGAACCGCTGATTTAAATGGATGCATCAGGATGGGGGAATGATAGAAAACCTTGTCATCTGTTACCTGTACATTTATTTATGGTATTGAAATAAACTGCAATGTGATCTTTACCTTTGTGAGTTTTTCTTTGAAGAATTATACACAACTGTGTTTTGTAGTGCTCATTTGTGTGACTGTGACACTTTGAAAGAGTTTTCCCAATGGTAAGTCCTCTGTGTGATGGTAATTCAGCCTTATAATTTGTGTAGGTATCCCACTATGTGAACCGATTCCTCTCATTCAGATAGTGCCAATAAATGATCAGATGCATTGGTATAGAATGGGAGTCCTCAAACTGTTGTTGATGAGGGGCCGGTTCACTAACCCCCAAACACTAATGGGGGCCCGACTACAGTTTAAAAAATATCTCTAAAATCCTATGCACAATCTGGGACTCAAGGGGCTTTAATATATATCTATATATACATATCTATCTCTCTCTCTCTATATATATATATATATATATATATATATATATAAATATATTGCATTGGTGTACAAAAAAAATAAACAGAATAGTGAGTCTG